TAGATACATCATGCACTGACATAGTATGAATATTAAAGAGGTTTAAGACCTTAGATGTTTCCATTTCTTTAGAAAATAGAGATTTTATAGGGGTTATTCCACTTATTAGGTGTTATATGAAGTTTAAGTAAATTACTTAATAAAAAATTAGAAATGATACCCATCTACCATGAAAATAAGTTTACCATACATATAAAAAAGTTTTTTTGGGTGATTATTTATTTGTAAATAACACTAAAGAGATTAAGTATTATAGATAGCATTTATCAGAAAATTCAGTATTTTCGTAGGGGTTAGCCCACATATTTCAAGAAAAATAAGAAAATATGAAAATTTTGTTTTATTGCATAGCTAAATCATGAACTGATATAGTAAGAATATTAAAGAGGCTTAAGACCTTAGATTTTTTCATTTCTATAGAAAATAGAGTTTTTATTGGGGTTAGTCTACTTAATAGATGGTATATGAAGTTTAAATAAATTACTTAATACAAAATTAGAAATGATGTCCATCTACAATAAAAATAAGTTTACCATACATATAAATAAGTTTATGGTGCGATTAGTTAATTGTAAATAACACTAAAGAGATTAAATATTACAAATAGCATTTATTAGAAAATTCAGTATTTTCGTAGGGGTTAGCCCACATATTTCAAGAAAAATAAGAAAATATGAAAATAAAATTTTATTGCATAGCTACATCATGAACTGATATAGTATGAATATTAAAGAGGTTTAAGACCTTAGATGTTTCCATTTCTTTAGAAAATGTAGATTTTATAAGGGTTATTCCACTTATTAGGTGTTATATGAAGTTTAAGTAAATTACTTAATAAAAAATTAGAAATGATGCCCATCAACCATGAAAATAAGTTTACCATACATATAAATAAGTTTATGGTGTGATTAGTTATTTGTAAATAACACTAAAGAGATTAAATATTATAGATAGCATTTATCAGAAAATTCAGTATTTTCGTAGGGGTTAGCCCACATATTTCAAGAAAAATAAGAAAATATGAAATTTTTATTTTATTGCATAGATATATCATGAACTGACATAGTATGAATATTAAAGAGGTTTAGGACCTTAGATGTTTCCATTTCTTTAGAAAATAGAGATTTTTTAGAGGTTATTCCACTTATTAGGTGTTATATGAAGTTTAAGTAAATTACTTAATAAAAAATTAGAAATGATACCCATCTACCATGAAAATAAGTTTACCATACATATAAATAAGTTTATGGTGCGATTAGTTATTGGTAAATAACACTAAAGAGATTAAATATTATAGATAGCATTTATCAGAAAATTCAGTATTTTCGTAGGGGTTAGCCCACATATTTCAAGAAAAATAAGAAAATATGAAAAATTTCGTAGGAGTTTTGATCCTTGAACTATCCAAATTTCTATAGAATATAAAAATTCATAGCTGCATAACTGCATCCCACTGATATAAATAAGTATAATTTTATAATAGATACAAATAATGAGAGAAAATGCATGTGTAGTCTACCAAAAAGAATATGTTAGTGGAAAAGATCTCTTAACCTTGGCATGTAATCATATTTTGACTATACATATATTTTTATATGGCTTCAAATAAATTATGAATGTTATACTCATCATTATAATTTACCTTATTAATTTAGTAAATGATTAGATTTAATTGTGTTTGCTTCTTTTAATTAGTTTTAAATATATAAAATTCTATTTATAATTTTAAATAACTTAAAAATTAGCATCTATAAATATAATCTGATGCTAATTTTTAGTATTTTCATTAGGATTTTTTTCATGTAGTAATTAGTTACCAGTATATCACTCAACGAGCAAATACATAATCGTTAGGCGAGAAAAGAACAAATTAAATGCCCAGCCGGATGATTTGAGCATTCAATACGAGGAAAATTAAACGGCCGGCTATACCCTCTTCAAGCTTCATTGGTCTTACCTTCACTACTACTACTCAGAAACTTCACTGGTCTTTACCTTCTCAACTACTTATGAAGCTTCAGAAAAACTCGACATAATCACACAACCTAATAATTAGTATTATATATACCTTACACAAGTAGTTAACGTTTTGACATGTGCATAGTAAGTTGCAGTAGTACTGTAATAGTATAATGTTCATGTAGGACACACGACAAGACGAGAACGCGGAAATGGTACCCGCATGAAACCAAGAGCTGTCTGGGTGAGTGATATTTGAAATTATTAGTATTTGTCCTTGCATCGTCATAATACGATCTTTCCCTACATATTAGGATATCTGATACAACACGTGTTGAATAATCACGTCCAAGACGATACTCGAATTTATTGTTTCAGACAAGGATTTGTTGGACTTGAATTCAACGACACTAAGTCTATAGAGCTATATAGCAGTTTGAAATCGCCAGTATACATATAGCGTCCAAGAAAATCGAATACTGGTTTCAGTAAAATGGGAAAATGTTGTTTAATTCTGAACCGTTGCACTACGCAATGATCGATAAAACATCTTTATGCTGGAAATTCATTCAAACATTTATATACATCACTTATCCATCAAAAAATATGGGTGAATTATTTGTTATCAAAAACAAAACAAAAAGTCTAAAGAATGTTTGCAGAATGGAACTAATATGGATCATATAATTTGCAGATTGGGTCAAATATAGGCCCTATTTAATAAACTGGATCTGAAAATGGTTAGAAATGTGAAAAATGTTCCAACATTCTTAAGCTTTTGATGCATTTCCATGTTTGAATTTATTTTGTATATGAGAGAAAGATCCAACCAAATAAACTTCAATAGATGAAATATCACACATATAAAATGAAGACAAACACACAATTTTAGAGGCAAAGTGAAAGGTCTAAGACTCTTGTAAGGATCAGTGCTTAAGCAAAATGCATTTTGGGAGATTCTAGAAAGGAAACAACCATCCAACAGTCCACCCTAAGAACAGGCCAGCACCAATGAGACTAAATCCTAATGCAAAAGCCATCATATATCTTCTTCCAATCTCACCCATTCTATTCCTCTTCCCTTTCTGCTTCCTCTTCTTCTTCAGATTCACTCCTTTGATATGCTCTTGGTCTTCCATCTTCATCTGCTGATAGGTAGCTTCCATTTTAAGAAGCTTTACCCATTGTTTATAAGCCAACAAGTGACTCGCTTGTCTCAAAAAGATTGTCATCAGACGTTCTTTTTCAGCGCAAGCTTCTCTGGCTGCTTTCTCTGCTTCTCTTGCTCTGGTTTGAGAATGCCATAGTGCTTCTAAAAGCTGAGCGTTGCTTAGATCATCACTCATAGGAGAAGCCTTTAGACTCGTGTTCTTCCTATCTGTGCTACACAAAGATCTCTCAAACCGATCGCTCCAAGCACACCTTGTTTCCAAGGCGATGTGACCGCTGTTTGAAACCCTTTTTCGACATTTGTGCAGTGAATGCTCTTGTGGAGCTTATGGGGTGGAGGAAGATCACAGTTTTGAATATGATGATCAACGGATCTAGTCGCCACCACGAGAGCTAAATCATCTCTATCCGTAGGGCTTCTCCACCACGGCGTTGTTGTATCTTTCTTGCTGATAAAGCCCCCTGGTTCACCTGAACGTCCGTCTACATCGGAGAAATGAAAGAAATCAAATCCAGTGGCAATAAAATGTAACTATCACTGATACACATGGATGTTTTAGATTGGATTTAAAAAAATCATTGCTATTATCGTTGTTGTTGTTTTACCTTGTTCTCTTGTAAAATTGAGAAGACAGGTCTCGACAGCATCTTCTTTAAAACCCCATATCCAGATAAGCCTTCACCGTCAAGTTCCATAGCGCAGCATCACTGATTCCTAACCTGACATACAACAAAAAAAACAAGAAACACGCAAACAAAAATACGAATGGGGAAACTCTTAATTATCAAACTGATTTTGACTGACTAAATGATCACAAAGTGTATAAAGGCAAATGACTGCATTTCTATTGTCTCACACATTATGAATTTAGTATCTACCAATCCAAAAAACTAGAATTTGATACTGGTTTTGAGTGACCAAATATGACAATGTGAAGACAATATTGAAACTTAACGTCTCTAACGGACATATTGACTGCACGCTGCATTTCTATTTGTTTTACACACTATAAATTTAGTGTCTACCAATCCGCGTATCTAGACAATTAGTACCGCTTATCTAGACAATCACGGTACCGCTTATCTAGACAATCACGGTTACTGGTTTTGAGTGACCAAATAACAAATGTGTAAAGACAAATCAAAACTTAACGGGACAAATCAAAGACTGGACGCCGCATTCTATTTGTTTTACAAATTATGAAAATTTAGTGTCTATCAGTCCGATAATATACAGAATTTCCCCAAAAAAAAAAAAAAAAAAAAAAACAGAGAAGAAGGAGGATTTACATACCTTACACGGCTGAAAAAGGGGAACCTGGACTCAAATACGGTGGCGAGAAGTTCGTTTACTGCGCGCTTCCCGTGAAGCTCACCTACCTACAAAGCAAAAAAGAAAACATCCAAGAGAAGAAAATTTGAATTCAAAAAGTGCAGTAAAAAGAAAATTCAAACTAAACCAAATTACATATTCCTAAAGAAATTTTAATAATAATATATGTCATTCAACTGCTTGATTAATTCACAATAAAGTAGAATATGTTAAGTCTTAGTTGTGATAAATATAAAAAAAATGGAGAACTGACCTTTTTAATCTTGTAGCCGTCGAGTACTAAAACAAACCATTGGAGAAGCAGCTTTAGCAAATATACTTATGTCTGCAAAAGATCAAGAAGGAAACTTTGTTATTTTATACTCAATGATCTATGGAAATTTTCAAGATACTTAAGAACATTAGCTTGAGTTGAAAATGTTGTGTGCATTTTTATTCTATATCTCTGTGTAAATCAAACCAAAGACTGTCCTAATTCATTTTGCTTTATTATTTTACATCTGTGTCTAAAGCATTTTTTATCAAGCCATGACAACAATCTACTTCAGTAGTAGAAAAACCATGATTTACCTTCCAAAAAAAGGTCTGTGATGTTCTCTGAGTAGATGTTGCTGTTGTTTTCGGGTTCTCTGCTTGGTAATGCTGGGTTCTTTATTGGAAACAACCTTGGTTCTTCCTTTTATTGTGTATTGCAGGCGCTTGCCTTTCACCACATCCTGGACCAAAATTGTCACAAAAAAAATGTCAGCTAAAACGCCCATTTTAGGTTCCCAGAAATCTATAATTCATAGAATATAAGACTAGATCATCATTATATGTTTCTCAGGTTGATGATAGAAGAAGATCACATCAATGGTGGAAACTAACATAATTAAAGATCATGGTGAAATATGTAAACCAATTAGTCATAATCCATTAAAAGAATGATGTTTGTTAACAACTTGGGGGGAGAACACAGACAGACAATTTTATTTGCAGTGGGTTCAATAATGATTCTAATTAAGTAAAAGTCACAAACATTAATGGGAAGGAGGGGACTGAGGCCCTGGAGCGTTTGCAAATTTTGGTGATTACAGAAATAAAGTTGTAAATGCTAATAATGTAATTTAATTGGACCAACATACCTTGTTGATTGTTTTCGTGAGAGGAGGCGCCACCATCACCACACACTCCCTTGTTTGGTTGTTGCCTTAGCGTTTGGACTTGGACATGTCCTCCTCGGATATCAAAATATAGACAAACTCAGTAAATACAAATGTCTTTGAGAGAGAGAGTTAATTTTAAAACTTTTGGACCCATTATACCTGGTGTGTGAGTGCATGCATATACCATAGCTCTCTCTTCTTGATTGCTCCTTCTTGCCTCATTTTGTTCTCACTTAATTTACACTTTTTGGGTTGGTGTCACACCAACCCATCTACACAAGATATCTTGCAAAGTTTCTAAATTTAGCAAAGTCCCAGTTTATCTCAAAACTTCATGTCCTTATCTGATATAGTATCATTACCTCAGCTTGCTTAGCATGGATCATCATCCATCATCCTTTTGCTTTCTCTTGTCCATCTGAAGGAGCAACGAGCTTGGACTCGGGCAAGAGCTTGCATAAATGACCGCATCTGCATGTTTCCTATAGCAAAACATTGACCGCAAAAGTTTCATTAAGTGTTTGTTGGTTTGATTAGATGTTTCTTCTAAATTTGCAAAAAAAAGGTAAACATAACTACTGATTGTAAACCATCCACATCTATAATGTTACAACAACCCAATGATTTAAGCAAAAATTATGAACAGGGAAAGAGTCTCTCGGTGTACCAGGAAAGGGGGTCTCTGGAGGAGCTCTTATAATAGAGACGCAGCCACGGTGGATCTGAGCACAGGGAAGGAGTGCCGTAACTACCTACCAGCACGGCTCTTGAAACCATTTTGAGGAGGAAGATAGGAAGGAAACTCTCTTGCTGATGAAGTCCTCCAGAGCTTCTTCTTGCTGTTCTTTTTATCACTTAACTGAAAAAAACAAAATCAATCAATGCTTTTTATGTTGTGTAATAAAGAAACACCGTGGACATACAGACAGAGAAAAGTACTCTTCGAGATTACCTGATTGGGTTTTTCTTTTTGTTAGAGATTAGAGACTTTATCCACTTTCCCTTGTTTGGTTGCCTTAGCGTTTGGACTTGGACATGTCCTCCTCGGCTATCAAAATATAGACAAACTCAGTAAACACAAATGTCTTTGAGAGAGAGAGAGAGAGAGAGAGAGAGAGAGAGAGAGAGTTAGTCTTAAAACTTTTGGACCCATTATACCTGCCTGATGTGTGAGTGCATATACCATATAGTTCTCTCTTCTTGATTGCTCCTTTTTGCCTCATTTTGTTCTCACTTAATTTTAAACCCATCTACACAAGACATCATGCAAAGTTTCTAAATTTAGCAAAGTCCCAGTTTATCTCAAAACTTCATGTCCTTATCTGAGATAGTATTATCATTACCTCAGCTTGCTTAGCATGGATCATCCATCATCCTTTAGCTCAGATGGGTTCTCTTATCCATCTGAAGGAGCAATGAGCTTGGACTAGGGAAAGAGCTTGCAAAAATGACCGCATCTGCATGTTTCCTATAGCAAACATTGACAGCAAAAGTTTTCATTAAGCGTTTGTTGGTTTGATTAAAAGTTTCTTCTAACTTTGCCAAAAAAGTAAACATAACTACTACTGATTGTAACACATCTATTCTGTTACAACAACCCAATGGTTTAAGCAAAAATTATGAACAGGGAAAGAGTGTCAGTGTACCAGGAAAGAGTCTCTAGAGGAGCTCTTATAATAGAGACGCAGCCAGCAAAGAATCGAAGGCAGAGAAAGACGGCGGTGGATTTGAGCATAGGGAAGGAGTGCCGTAACTACCTTCCTTTTGAGGAGGAAGATATGAAACTCTCTTGCTGATGAAGTTCCTCCAGAGCTTCTTCCATTTCTTCTTCTTGCTCTTCTTTATCACCTAACTGAAAAAAACAAAATCAATCAATGCTTTTTATGTTCTGTAATAAAGAAACACAGAGATCGAGTGGACATACAGACAGAGAAAGGTACTCTTCGAGATTACCTGATTGGGTTTTTTTCTTTTTGTTAGAGATTAGAGACTTTATCCAGTTTCCAGAGCCGCCACCCCATCTTTGTTCTTCTTTTTTTTTTTGAATATATTATTAATCATCCCTAAAAAAGGGGCAATCGGAAACAGAGACAGCAAAATCAACAAACAGAAAAGGTATGGATGGGTTGAGAGGGAAAGAAAGCAAAAGGAAGTACGCTTACGATGAACACCGATGGTTCTCCGGTCAGTTTCCGTCTTGTTGCTCGTTGTCCGAAGGGGGTGGAGAACTGCTCTACAGGTTACAGCCGACAGCTGCAGAGCCTCTACCCCTCCTTAAGTGACCGGCGAATTTTATTTAGAGAGAATAAAAAGGGACAGAGCGCGTGAGATCTCAAAGCCTGATCCATCTTTGTAATAAAAAAACTTTTAGACTTTGACAGCTTGTCTGGATGATGTAGACATTGTAATAAACGGTAACATTGACCTTTAAGCTTTCACTTAACGGTAACATTGACCTTTAAGCTTTCATTTAACGGTAACATTTTGATACACGTTGGGAAAATATGTCCACAAACATTATGAACAGAGCCTTTTAATTTATATAACATGTATCATAAATTATTTTGCATGCAATTATATTTCTTCATCGATAATATTAAAAATATATATTTTGTTTACACGTTTGGCTAGATAAAATTATAAACATGTCAACAACTAAATAATATAAATGTTTTATTATCCGTTCAGCTAAGTTAAT